GCAAACACGCAAATAAGTATTTATTAGAAAAATATGAACCCGGTTGAGAATAATAAAGTCTTTTTTTCTCTCCGTTTTCTTATTTTCTCACACATTCTTTGTCTGCTTTACCTTTATGCCCCCCCCCATTACGTTTCCCTGTAATAATATAATGTGCATAAATAATGTCTAGTAAAGCAATTAACCTTTTCACTGCCGGAAGAAAGCGTTTATTGATGGAAACCACAGTAGTAGAAAGGGTTAGTGTTTATTAATTTTAAATATATATATATATATATATAGTTAAAGATGTGTTTGGTCAAGGCAACGGGAATACACTCTACCTTCTTTCCCAAGAAATGGTAATTCACAGATAATAAAGAAAAAGGAATCTGTGGAGAGCCATTATCGCTTCCATCCTGAACGGACATGGCATTTAAATAAAAGTAACTAGTTTAGGAGAAGGTAACCGGAAACCACTCTACTATCTTTCCCAAGAAGTCATGGCAATTCACAGATAGGAAACGAAGCTGTGGAGACCCATGATTGTTTCCATCGTGAAGGGACATGGCATCTAAAAAAAAGGGAACTAGTTTAGGAGAAGGAAACAGTGAAACAACTCTTATCTTTCCCAAGAAGTCATGGCAATTCACAGATAGGAAAGGAAGCTGCGAAGAGCCATGATTATTTCCATCCTGAAGGGACATGGCATCTAAAAAAAAAGACAAAAAAACAGAACTAGTTTAGGAGAAGGAAACCACTCTACTATCTTTCCCAAGAAGTCATGGCAATTCACGGATAATTAAGGAAAGGAATCTGTGGACTGTCATAATTGCCTAGATTTTGATGGGTACATAACATTAAAAAAAAAAAAGAAAAAGTTTATAAAAACGAGGAAGGCTGTAGATTGAATCGGTTGAAGAGTTGTGAAAGAAGCAAAATAACATAACCAATGAGTTTAAATGTCTGAACTATGCTTGAAATATTAATTTTACTTCATTTGCATTTATTTATTTTTTTAATTGTAATTTTTTTTAATGATTTCACCCCAGGCAAAACGGGAATGCCACTAGTATGTAAGGGGTTACAGGGAGTGAAAGTTAGAGATTGAGGAAAGGACAAAAGATGAACGAGATTCTAGAAGATGAAGATTGATGTTGCATTTAAATTTTGTTAATCATTTCACCCCAAGCAAGGCGGGAATGCCACTAGTACGCAAGGGGGTTTACAGGGAGTGAAAATGAAAGGGAAAACTGAGAATATGGAGGATTAAGGAAAGCATAGAAGATGAACAGAACTGAACTATCAGGAAAGGTGGGGGGGGTCGAGAAAAGAAAAACTGCCAGAGCGGAAGTGGCGGTTGCATTTCGCTATTTCAAAGGTAAAAGGGTGGGACCTAGTTGTTAATCTAGTAGCACGCTTAAATTCATGTAGTCGGCACAACAGAAAAAAAGCTTAGAGCAATTGTTAGGAAAATATTTGTAGAAAAGAAGCCACGTTTCGTCGGTGAGAAAGTGACTGAAGTCGTGATGTCTGGTCAGGATCGATTACATTATTTATTTATTTATAATGTTATAATTCTTCTGAGATTATGTCCCTTCGCCGAAGTTAATTTTATTTAGAAAAAAAAAAAGCATTTTTTAATAACAGGTGCAATGCGTATTTGGGCAAAAGTTCTGGGCACAGTTAATTCTGCACCAGACATCTGAGCCAGGAACCGTCTGAAAAATTCCAGTTGCATGGCACTCCTGCTTCTTCATATTATTGTAACACTGGCAATTGCACACGACGAGATGGCAAGCATTGTTGGCACACTGATCTTCACACCACGTCGAAATGCTCTTGAAATGTCGATAAATACCGCGACCCTGACATTTTAGATATTTCTCAGGGCCAAAACACCTTGAGAGATTATGGAGTTGAGAGTTGCTGGAAGGACAATCCCAGATGGGTATACAAAAATGACTTCCACCCAAAGATATAGTACAATTCATTCTCTTGACACACAGTAAATTAGAAGGCGGACAGATTTGCCCAGGGAGACATTCTAATTGAACTGAATCATTTAGTAGCTTAACGTTAGTTTCATTTATGTTTATTGAAGTAACATTGTTATCGTCTGTGTGAGAAAACGTTACCGAAGTAGAAACAGATATTAATGTATTAGACGTTTTGTCGGTGTCGCTTGACGACGTTGTGGCTCTAGTTATGGCATACTTTGTTTCTTCATTCATTTTTGAGTCTAATGGCTTTTTTCTAGAAACAGGCGTTGTTCGATTGATATCAGCATCTGTATATTGGAGTGCAGTGATTTCAGCACCATGATATTTTAAAGTATTGGTGTCGGCTTCTGAACAAGGGCTGACTTGGAGATCATGAAACGGTGAAGCAGTAGTAAAATTCAAGGAAGAATTGCTGCAATCGACACCAGGTGATCCCGTCACCTGATCCACTGGTGTATTTGTTAGAGCTACAGATGATCCTTGATTCTGAACGGATGGTTTTTGATTCGTGATAATTGTGAAAAGGTTTGTCGGAAGAGCGTTATTGACTGATCGTTCACCGTGGTGAATGTGACCCCGGCGCGAATTAATCGTCTCCATATGAGTTTTAGGAGTTGAATTCCTTTTTTCTGGAAATGGAGAGTCAATCGCTATGTCAGCACAATTGTAGTATTCCACCTGGTGGCCACAGCCCAAAGATTCCTGTCCATCTTCACACACACCAAGGAAATTACCTGAAAAAAATTAAAACGATATTGGAATTTAAAATAATCAACCAGAAGATTTAATCACAAACAGAAAACAATGTAGGGAAGCTGAATATCTAAAGAAAGGACAAATCACTGCCTGGATAAGAGTCACGTGACCCTGGTTATGTAATCAGCATATGCAAAGAACAATCCTCTTTTTTCTTTCTTTTTCCCACCACGTTAGTCAGGGAAAACAAAGCAAGTCTTCTTTCTGGCGCAGGCGAAAGCCTATGTGAGGGAGTTTCAAAAAATATTAAGCCCAAGCCCTAGGGGAAGGGGCTGGCTTTATTGCTCAGCAACTGAGGCATCCTCCAAAGGCGAAGTGCCGAGGGGGGCTTGAACAGTTTTTCTACAGTATTGCCGTTAAACCCAATTTTAACTTCAACTTTCTATCACATTCGGTAGCTACGCGGGTGCGCTGAAAAACAAATTCTTCTTTCAACACAATCCCTGGTCAGCTGGATCGAGTTACGGAAGAACAGGGCCGGCAAAATTGAGGAAGAACAGGGCCGGCTTTCACTCTACGGCTAGCTTCTAAAGAAGCTAGCCGTAGAGTGAAAGCGAACCCTTCTTCAACAGAGACCCGGACGCCTTTTCTCTGAAGCTAAGTCCGCAGACACACTTTGTCTGTCAGCACTTTTTCGTTATTTCTCCTTTACTCCTTTTCTGTTTGGATATTAAAATGTATTGAAAGAGAATGGGCTGTTGTGTTTGTTTCTCTTCAAAAGCTGTCGCCTATTTTGAGCACACGTGGCTCAGCTCTATAAATTTGGGAGTTGTTGTTTTGGCGTATTATAGTGGATATAATCTTAACAACGATTTGATTACCAACAAAATATATGAATTAATTGGCATAACCAGAAAATATTAAATGGATTAATTCTATTGAACTGAAAAAATATATGATTTAATTGAAAGAATTTAAACAAATGATATGCTATTTATCTGATAAAATAAACGATTTAATTGCTAGTTTCCTGAAAAAAAATATTTGATATTCATTTTAAAAAATATATACGATCTAATTGTTGTCTACTTGAAAATCTTTTGAATTTATTAACTATTTTACCTGACAAAATATATGATTTAACTGCTTTTTACCAGAAATAAATTAAATACATTGACGCAAATACGATTGTTTAGTCATCTGTCAAATCTATAAATTTTTCCTTACACACACACACACACACACACACACACACACACACACACATGTACGTGAATGTTGTCTGTGGGATACGTTTGTTGTCATGTATACGTGGATCAATAAATCATGGCAGTTTATTAACTGAATTTTAATCTGAAATCTTCCTTGCGCAAAAGAGAATGTGTTGAAAAATATTTGTTGCGTAAAATAAATGTTTATTTTAATCATAAGGCTACAGATGCATATGCATTATCATTCATTTTTCTTTCATCTCTTAATTAGTATTAATAATATTATTATGCTAACTAAATTTCTTAGATGAAGCCTTGGCAATTATTATTCATTTTTGACTAGTATTTCTTTCATCTTATTTCTCTTGCTTTTCCACCAAGTAGTAATAGTCTTAAGTTGTCTGAATTTCTTAGATGAAGCCTTGGCAATTATTATTCATTTCTCTCTCTTTTTTCTCTTCTCTATATATATATATATATATATATATATATATATATATATATATATATATTATCAACGTAATTCAGCATATAGATGGAACATCCAATTTTACTGACTAATGATTCCTTACTGATAGAAACCACGGTAGCAGAAATGTTTTTGTTACAATTATTTTGTTTTATATATATGTGCGTGTGTGTGTTTTATTCTTATTTATATTCACCCCTACGTTACATGTTATAACAAGTTTTGGCTATTTTACCTAAAGTCATTCGACGTTATACAAAATCCCCTTATTGAAGTTTGTGCCTTGTATCCATTTTGTCCTCTACTGCTATGACTCATACCTGGTTTTTAGCAGTGCTATTTAGTCTCTAATTTTTTCATTTTTAACCTACACGCCTTAGCGAAAGCAACCCCTCCCACCAAAAAACAAAACAAAACAAAACAAAAAACGTTGGTACTGAAAGCGTTAATACTTGCTTGTCTAATTAATACGAGTCTCATTAGGTGCCCCACTATCTCAGCCTTGTGTCGCACTAAGCTTAATACATCTTGTCTACTTACTTCCTCTGTACTTCCATTGTAAGACACACTGATCACAATGCAGATCGACGGGAAGTTGTAGAGTGAGGTTGTACGTTCCAAAAGCCGTTGGGTAATATCGAGTGTGATTGTTTTCCACTATCTGAAGCAAGTTTTCGTTAAGGCACATCGGTTCAACTGTCCGGTTGATGTTGTTGTTGGCGCATACTCGGAACTCAAAGTAACCTCGATGGAAGAAGGTCAACTCAATGGACACTTTAATCTGCGTAGTGTTGGCTGGATAATGGCGGACCGTAATACCAGTGGCGTATTTCCCGCCAGCCTCGTGGTGCCGCTCTCCTTCGTACGGATCGCCACAAGTGCCGCACATCCCGTTGTTGTAGATCAGGTTCTTTAAATTTTAAAGAAAAAGAAGACATTTTAAATAATAGATATTTGTAAGGATTTAACATTTGTGTCTGAATTTATAAGGCATTATAACATATTATTTGAATGCCACTAAAGCACAAATGGTTACTGAGTGTGAAAGAATATGAGAAAAAGTAAACATTATTACGGAGAGAGAAAACTATTTACATTATTAGTCACGCTCCCATCGGAAAACTCCACTGCTATTGAAAAGACACAGAGATGCCAGGTCGAAATTCGTCCGTGAATATAAGGATAAAGAAAAATCGTATTAGGAAAGATTATTATGAACAGACGAAAGTAAAACTGAGTTGTTTGGACGTAAATCTAGAAATCATGTATGGAGATAAGATGGTGATGTCTTCAAACAAAAGAACACAGTTTCAACTGTGAAATTTGGTGATGGCAGCATCATGTTTTGGGGATATTTTTCTGCAAAAGGTACTGACAACATATCAGTAATAGATGGGAGAATGAATGCCGCAGCATATCAAAATATTTTGGAAGCAAATTTAATGATTTCGGCTGAAAATCTCGAACCTTCTCCTGATTGGATCTTCCAACGCGATAATGATCCTAAGCACACTGCAAAATCCACGAAGAAATATCTTGGTAAAAATAATGTAAATATCCTGAAATGGACACAGATGTAAATCCAATCGAGAATCTGGTGTTATTTGAAATTTCCAATCCAATTGTGAGCTCCAATAAACATCCCGAATCTGAAGACCATATGCGAAGAAGAATGAAACAAAATATCAACTAAAATTTGCAAATCATTAAATGAGAACTGCAAGAAGAGGTTGGTTGCTATACCTATTCTACAAAGTATTAAATAAAGATTATGTATTCTTTTTTGCATTGTACGAATACATTTTTCACCCATTAAAATGGATAAATGGAATTTATTTCTATTATATCATTTTTTTTCTGTTTTCTATGCATATTTAGTTACTATGCATCTGCTTATCCATTAGTTGGAAATACAATAAATTAAAAATTGGTATGTGTACGAATATTTGTCCCCCCCACAATATATATATATATATATATATATATATATATATATATATATATATATATATATAACGTCATCCACAGACAGACTGTTTCACAGTGTCTAGTGTGGCTAGACATCCGGTTGCCTCTAGCCAGGATCGAAACCCGACTGAATTGGTGTCAGTCGGAGATTCTAACCATTAAGCCGTCGTGAATTTTTTAGCGTATTTATTTTTTACAAACACGCCCAGTGACCGACAGTGACTCAATTCGCATCTGCGAAGAGTCTCGCTATATAGCTATAATAGTCACTGTTTACCAACCCACACCTCGTCCCCAGAGAGCTCAACTGAAATTGATATTTAGTCATCCACAGACAGACTGTTTCGCTGTATTACAGCTCTTCAGTGTGGCAAGAAATACACATGTGTATTTATTAAGATATACTTTATAGCTCTGTTTAACTACATTGAGCACTGTTTTGTTTACACCTTAAATCAAATATTTATTTGCTCATCTGTATATGTACGTTATCACACGCATATATAGTTGCTAAAATCTCGTTATTTAGTTTATGTTCACACTTTATATATATATATATATATATATATATGATAGGATAACGAACAAGTAGGAAACAGATCTTAATCTAACATGTTTCATTTTATTAAAGCTTCGTCAGTGATCAAGATAGAAATGAGAAAAAATGATAAAATGGCTTACTCCAAAGAATACATAAAACACATATATATGACTAACATGCAAATGGCTAGTTTAGGCATCAAATCACTATACACCAATATACCCATCACGAAATGCCTTAATATACTAAGAAATCACCTCAATAAATCCAAGAATAAGTTTCCTCTACTCTTCCACAAAATCATAAAGATATGTAAATTAATTACTAACCACTGTTACTTTTCTTTCAATAATATATTCTACAAATAAAAATTCGGTTTACCAATGGGGTCACCTACCAGTGGTATACTCGCTTGCCTCTTTCTAGAATTCTTAGAATCCGCCCCTTTTAAACATATCATAACTAGCAGCTCTACTTACCTAAGATATATTGATGACGTCCTCTTATTTTATCCCCAATATATTAACACTTTAAACTTAATAACTAAACTCAATAAAGTTGAACCAACCATCGAATTCACATACGAATTTGAAACAAATAACTCTCTACCTTTCCTCGATATCTTATTTAATACGTAACGATAATAAATTAGAATTTAAAGTTTACCGTAAACCCACTAACAAAAATAACCTTCTCAATGTCAATTCCCACCAGAATCTGAGAATAAAATCTAGAATAATCATAGGATTTTATCTTACAGCCCCGAGGATATGTATCCCTGAATACATTAGTGAAGAAGAGGATTATATTGAGAACATATTCAAACTTCTACACTACCCATACCATTTCATCTTAAACGCAAAATAGCGAATTCACAAAATCTATAAAACCAACCAATCAAATATTTCCAACAAAAATTATACAAAATTCATAATGCTACCATCCAACATTTCAATTAAACTAGTTACTAGTAAATAAATTAGTCACTAATACAAGGATTGTTAGAACCATTTCAAAAAACTATCGGAGATATAATCAGGTTGAAAAACAAAATAATAAAAAAAAAAAAACAATTCAAATGCCGAAGTTTATCAAAAGAAATGTTTACAGTGCAATAACATGTACATTGGGGAGACTTTATGTGATCTAAAGACCCGCTTCTAGGAATAGAAAAGAGATTTGCGCTTAAACATTCAAATTCTCTCGTCTTACATCGCAACGACGTCGGACATAACTTTGATTTAAAACAATGTCAACTTTATCAAAAAAGAACATAACGCTTTAAAAAGAAAATATTAATATTACCAACTATTTTTACATTAAGACACCATTTTCTTACAGATCCATTATTCATGAATCGAATTTATCTTTTCCGAATACAAAAAAAGCAATATACAAAAAAATACGCACAAGATATACTTTTGTGGTGGTGTTGTAAGATATGTTGGCTAGGGTCACCGTGAAATATAATAGCAATCAAGAAGGAAATTTAAATAAATATTGTATTAACAATGATATACAAATATCAACAATAAGTATAAAAAAGTTACTTCCCTTTTTCTGTAATAAAAAGGGTGAATGCAACTAAGTAATGTTGAGTTACAATATTGAATGTTATTTAACTATAAAGTTCAATTAATGTTCTTAGCTCAATGAAGAAAAATTCCACAGTCTGTTGGTGAGTGTGAAAAGATGTAATGTACACAAGTGATATTAATAGAAGTTAGTAAGATTACTCGAATGAGTAATAACTAAGAATTAAAATTAAGTAATATAGCGCCGTGCCGTATATTCAGCGTTGGCTAACAGCGAGAGAGTTTATATAGGTATGCATAGGCTCAAGTGACCTTGGCGCCAAAAAAATATAGAAAGATACTAAAATACGCGATTGGTCAGGAAATGGACCAATCCGTGATTTTAGAGAAAAATTCTAATAATGTGCGATGGCAAAATTATCATATAGTAAGTATCATATATTTATAAACCAATGACATTAAAGAAAGCGGAGGTGTGGCACATGTAAGTGATCACCACACTTTCATGAAAATCAAACTAAACAAAATTTTTCAAAACCTCCTGCAGCCTCTCACTAACTTTTACAGAATATAGCATCCTGAATATTTTCTTACACTTATTTGAATATTAACTGTTACTTTATTACACTTGACACATAGCTATACCAATAAGAAATAGCCAATCAAAACATCCTACTGCATATCATTAACTTTTACACACTTTAGCGTCCAGAATCTTTGTCACATATATGTAAATATTATCTGTTACTTCATTACCGATAGTTAGAAGGTCTGTTCGCTTAAATTCTTAAAGACTGGAACTACAGAAAAGGATTTCCAACAAGCAGGAAAACAGGAAGAAGCCAGAATTTAGAGAGAAAGGAAGGGAGTCCAAGATTACATTTCTTAAGGACTATAGTGGGGATACGATCACACGTCCACATGCTTTGAGGGGATCCAGTTTAGAGATGATAGCAGAAACCATGGATGGAGTCATGGATATATCACTTTATCAGTAGAGAATCTAAACGCCTTACATTAAGTGACGAGAGGGGGGGGATAGAATGCTTACGCTTATTTAAGACACTATTACAAAGCCGCCAGTATTCAAGTGAACCAAACATGTTAGAAGCTATACGTTATATTGGATTATATATATATATATATATATATATATATATATATATATATATATGTATGTGTGTGTGTTGAACAAAAAAAAATATTAAAATTTCAGACACACTGGCTTATATATTAATATTTTTGTTTTATTATTTAAATTAGGTTCCTCGATTAGTTTCCGCCAGAAAATATATATATATATATATATATATATATATATATATATATATTTACAAAGAATTTTTATATATATATATATATAAAATTCATTGTGTACATATATATATATATATAAAATTTATTTTGTGTGAGTATATATATATACAAACCTCATTTTATACATATATATATATATATATATAAACCTCATAATATATATATAAATATAAACCTCATTATATATATACCTCAGTGTATATATATATATATATATATACATATATATATATTTAATTAATTCATCGAGTCTGATAGAAACCTCAACAGAATGCAGAAAGCACTGGACGGCCGTTTCGTCCTATATTTGGGACTCATCATATATATATATATGTAAACCTCATACACACACACACACACACACACACACATATATATATATATATATATATATATAATTATTTATTTAAAATATGATTCCAAATCGCGACATAAGAAGACCCATGTTTAAAAACATGTCGCGATTTGGAATCATATTTTTAAATAAATAATTATATTTATGCTCTACTTTTGTATCGAGCACTATTTAAAAAATAATAACTAAATTACTAAGGG